TTTAAATAGGGAAAAAAAGGGCTGAAAAATTTTGGCTGACTTAGGCCAAAACCGACTTATCGAGTCTACCTGTGTATCGCCACAAAATTATACTAACGATCGGCAAAATTTTGCAGTTGTCTCACGGAGCACGAATTAATATAGTAATAGTTTTCAGGGGACCTATTGTGATGTTAAATTTTTTATCCCTGTAATTTCTTTGTCAGCCATATAATTTAAAATAAAAAAGTAAAAAATAGTTCAAACTCACTCGAGCATAAATCTTTTTTATATTGTAATTGTATTCTTGTAATTTACTCTTAATATTTAATTATATATTTTTAAAAAATGTCGGTGAATTGGGTAATGATTTCTTCTGATGGCAAACACCCAGTACCTCTACCTGGCGAGAAGGTTTTCTTTAGGTAATGGATATTTTCATGTTAATTAATTGATATTTTAATGGCTTTCGAATTATTGATAAAAATATTTACACATTTTATTAATTTTAATGGTAGCCAAGAAAAGGTTTCGCTTATATTGGATATGGGAGGGTAATATAATTTTAAGCATATTGCTTGTTTTTGATTTTTGCATCTACACTTTCTGTATAATAAATAAAATGTTTATTCATTTATTAAACATTAGTGGATATCCTGGAAATCACCCAAATTTAAAAGCGGAAGGAATTGTTTTTGTAACAAATCAAAGAGTATGTGATAATAAAATTATATATAATAATCAATTGATATTCAAAAGTACAAAATAATTTAAATTTTTTCTTAAAAAAATTTTTTACAGATAATATTTCTATCTCATCCATCTTTAGAACATTTTAAATCTTTGAGTATACCGTTATTAAATTTGAAAGATGGTAAATTCCAACAACCTTGGTTTGCACCTAATTATTATCAAGCTACTATGATCCCTGTATGTTTGTTTAAATTTAAAAACATTATTGTTCAAAAAAAAAAGAGAAAAAAGAAATTATTAAAATATAAATGATGTTTATTTTGAAAAGGTTTCAAATGGTGGATTAACATCTCCAGGTGAATTGAAAATTACATTTAAGGAAGGTGGCGGATTTGAATTCAGTTCATATTATAAAGAAGTGCTTAAAAGACATGCTGGTACTTATAATATCATATATATTATATTGTATTATATATATGCATTCTCATATTTTTTGTAATTTATAAATCGAATTAGAAATGGAGGGTACGGGACCAATAGAACATCTTGAACCTTTACCAGTTTACACACCGTCTTCAAGCTCAAATTCAACATCAACACAAACACCACCTGTTGAAGCTACTATTACTTCTTCTTCAATGTCACTGCCACCACATTCACCACAATCATCATCATCGACAACACATCCCGTTTCACAACAACAACAACAACAACAACAACAACAACAACAACAACAACCAATATCAGTACTTCCATATGACTTACCACCTAGTTATGACGAGATAACGAAGTAACAAAATGACATTCATCTTTTATTATTATTGTAATTTACATGATTAATAGTGGAGTATATCATTTTTTTTTGTTTATATAAATAAAGAAATAAATAAAATGCAAAATAATTTATCCTAGTCTTAAAACATAATTGCAACCAGAAGATCCTCCAAAAAAAGTAAATTAATGAATTAGTAAAAGGGAGGAGGGCAAAGCTTTAATATAATATAGATTATAAATATAATGATAGCAATACATAAATGAATATAATATATAATTTATACGTCAATCCGATTTGATTTAATTCTGCCCTTTTTGGTATACATATGTCATACCATTTGGGGATTCACAGCTAATATATTACCAAGGTAGCTTAAAGCTTAAAGGCTTTAGTATATATATATATATAAGATTGGAATACAGAAAATTTTTTATCATTAACTTGTTTCATGAAAAACAAAGTATCAAACTTATTCCTGATTTTTTCAGCAAGATAAATATCACCATTCAATTTCTTTTCTTTGGAACCAAATTTGATATTATAATCTTTTTCTTTATTGATACGATTACAGATCATAATAACATATTACTGGTAAAAGATAGAGTATCTTCGAATATGTTATTGTATTCCTTTTCTAATGCATAAAACCAATCCATGTCGTTCAATAGACAATTATTATAATTGTCATTGTCTGCATTTTTTACTTCTTCATTATCAGATTTTGTTGGCTTGATGTTGAAAACTCTCAGTAAAAAATTTCAAAGAACGGTCTCAATGTGGCGCGTTCATTCGATTTTCTTAACAGTTGCAAATGGAAGGTCTCAAAAGGTACAAAGTGTTTGCAAAAGCTATGATATATCAAAGTAATATTTTTATATCTCGTAGTCGGAATTCTTCTCCCAGAATGAAGCCGTGTGTCGACCTACACTTTAGACAAGATGATATCATGAAAACATAATCTCGTAACAATTGAATATCCAACTATAGAGAGAATCTTTTTAAATATTCTCAAACTATTGATTGGTTTATCGATGCCTGAATTTATAATATTGTTGAAATTTTTGTACAATAAATTTTGGTAATTATCTAACATACGAGTAAAATAATCGCCATTAACTTTTCCTTAATAAATGAACTTGAGTCGTAGACGAACGAAAGACAATTATTTTCGTTACAATCATCGTCATCATCTTTATTGTTATGTTGTTAGGTGATGCAAATGATGATTGTGGATCTTCTATTTTTTTAGAGGAATTTGCTTTTCCACTTGTCTGACATAATTTTCATAATCTTTAACACTTAATATAGATTGCATGATTAAAATTTCCAAATTGTCGAAATCTCTTTTAATTTTTGTACCAAAAAAATGACTAATTATTGATTTCAAAAACACAAATTCCAATTCAATCCCGTTTTTATAATCTTTCAAAAACTCCAACATTTTATAATGATTTTCTACTTCAATGTCAACCTGAGTAATTCGATCAAACATTTTTGGATTATGACAGGTTTTGATTCCTTTCTAACTTCATGAAAAGATTCTTATCAAAACGGAATCACCAATTAGATCAAGGTGATCTTTACACAAACGTAGACCAAATTTTGTTAATTTGAATCCAATACGAATGAAATCATTTAATCGATTATAACCATTTTTTTATTTGAATCACTCCGGCCATCGGACGTATTTAATGGAAGAAGCTTTAGAATACAGCCTCAATTATCAAATAATTAACTACAAATGTCTTAATAGTCTATCTCTTTTCACATGCCAACGATGCTAGCATCTAATAAAATTGCTCTGGTAACTATATCAAGTTATCCAGTATTCTCAAAACCATCTTTTGCTGGATGTTCTTGATTGACTATGGTGTATTCAAATCGAATTTTTGGTCTCGGAGAAAAAGGAGTGAAATTTTTGATTGACAATAAAATCACAAATCTCTCCCAAGTTTTCTTTGATTATTATTGATGCTTGATCAATGGGAAGTTCTCCGCAATTTAAAAAATGGAATTTTTCAATATCACCGCCTTTCAGGGGCAAACCTAGTCCAAATCTTGCCTCAGCCTCTTCTAATAAAGTAACAATACATCCATCGGTATGTCTGATGACCATGGAGTTTTTATACCTTTTTGGAAAGCTTTATCGTTATTATTACCTTGCAATCGTAATTTAATCAATCCTTCGTCTTCCTGACCATACTGTAGAAGCAATCTTTGTATAAAGTACCTTGATAGATTTGCACTATTTTTTATTAACAAGAATAAACGAAATAGGAGTTTTAATAAACTTGAACATTCCCTACAAGTAATTCTGGGGGGAAATTATTCATACTAATACTGAATTGTATTAGCATTTCGGTGTAACTTAACTAATGAATGTTTAAATTGACAGTGTGAACATTATTATTGTTGTTATTGTTGTTGTCGCATTTAAGGTAAGAATTTATTATTACATGTCATTGATAATGATGAAATGACTAAATGACGCTTTTATAAGTGAACATCGGTATTACCAAAGATTTTAGGGATCAAGAGGTTTGTTTATAATCACAAAAATAGTTAATATGAAACTCATTTACATCAGATCTACTATGGAACCTAAGAATTATAGCATAATGGACATTCGTTTATCACATAGTGACAAAATTGAATGCAGATCTTTTTTATGCTGTGCAACAGCGTA